AGCCCAGGGGATCTGAGGGACACCTGGAGGGTCATGGGGTACCTGGGGGTCTTTGTGGGGTCTGTACCTGGCTGCTGCTGTCTGCCCCCATCTGCAGTAGCAGCTCAACACAGCGGAGTCGGTCCTGGGGAGTGCGGGACCCCCCTGCAGAGCCCCCCGTGGGGGGGTACCCTCCCTGCAGCGAGGCGTTGTGGGCCAGGACAGCACAGTGCAGAGGGGTCTGACCTGGGGGGGAACCCACAGGGGTCAGGAAGGGCTCCTCCYACAAACAGGGCCCCCCTGGAATTGGAACCCTCCCAGGGATCCCCTCAAAGTACAGAAACACCCCCGGGACCCTCCCACCATCAGCTAGGACCCCCAGACTGAAGACCCCCCATGTCCCCAAAACAGGGATGCATCCACCAGGAACCCCCCMAAGAACTACCCAAAAATGGGGATCYCCAGGGGCCCATTCAAACCAGGGACYCCCAAGCCCCTCCTATGTTGAGTACCCCTCAAGCAGGACTCTCCCAAGGCACCCTGAAATTGGGGACTCTTCAGATACCCCGAATCATGGACCCCTGTTCCCCCCTGTGCCCCACTTTCCCCACACCCCCATTTGGAGACCTACCAACTGAACTCTCCCCAGTCCCACCCAAACAAGGACTCCTCAAGAATCACCCCTCCCCCCAAAACCAGGGACCCACCCCAAGCCCCTCCATCACCCTTGCCCCCCCCCCAAATTTGCTGACCCTCAAAATTTCTGGTCTCCATGTTGACAGGGACGCCTGAGGACATCATGGCCTGGGAAGGCAAAAGGAGAAATTTGGGGAGCCCACAGGCTGGTTCCCTGGTCTCCCTCCACAAAGGGAGACCTCCTTTATGGGCCTCCTTTGTGTTCCCTCCCTCTGGGGTTGGGGTCCCTCTCAAATAACTGGAACATGTTGGGAGGTCYCCCATGAGAAATTTGGGGTCCCTCAAGGGAGTTTAGGATCTCATAGGGACACCTGGAGGATTTGGGATAGCCAGAGGTGGTGTTGGGTTTGCACCTGGGGTACTTGGAGGGTTGGGTTAACACGTGGAAGATTTGGGGAGCCTCACCTGGAAGATTTGGGGTCCCCCCTGTGGGATTTGGGGCCCCAGTGGGTTGTGTTCGGGCTACACCTGGAGGGTCTCAGCTGTACAATTTTGGGGTGCTCAGAGGGATTTGGGGGTTATACCAGTAGGATGTAGGGTTGAATAGAACAGAATCATAGAATGATTTGGGTAGGAAGGGACCTCGATGATCATCTTGTTCCAGACCCCTGCCATGGCAGGGACACCTTCCACTGTCCCAKGGTGCTCCCAGCCCAGTCCAACCTGGCCTTGGACACTTCCAGGGATGGGACAGCCACAGCTTCTCTGGGCACCCTCTGCCGGGCCTCCCCCCCTCACAGGAAACAATTTTTTTCCTGAATAGCTAATTTAAGCTCTTCTCTTTCAATTAAAAAAAAAAAAAAAAAGCTTCCCCTTGTTTGGTCACTCCAGGCCTTTGTAAGTGTTGCTCCATCTTTCCTGAAAGTTCCCTTCAGATACTGAAAGGCGCAATTAGGTCATCCTAAAGCTTCTCTTTTTCAAGCTGGACAATCCCAATTCTCTCAGCCTTTTTGTGTCTCCCCTGAAAGATTTGGGGTTTGGGAGCCCCACCTGTAGAATTTGGGAGTTTGGGGTTCTCAGCTGGAAGATTTGGGGTGTTTTGGGGGGGGGCCTCACCTGAAGGATTTAGAGTTGGGATCTCAGCYGGAGGATTTGGGGGTTGGGGTCTCACCTGGAGGATTTCAGGGTGCCCATAGGCTGCAGCCAGGTGCAGGGCTGTGCGTCCCCAGTGGTCAGCAGCATCAGGATTTGCCCCCAGGACCAGCAGATCTCTCACAATCTCTGGGGCTGCAGCTGCTGCTGCCACCAGCAGTGGAGTCTGGGGGGATAAAATGGGGGGGCGCAGGGAGAGAGTGAAAGGGTGCTCAGAGGGGTCTGGGGGCTCTGGTGGGGAAAAAAGTTACGTCAGTAGGGTCTGGAAAAGTCAGGGGAGGTTGAGGGGCACCAAGCACCCCAAACCCTCAAATTACCACCCTGGTGTTCCGTTACAGCTCTGTCCTCTTTATTCATTCTCTGATCATTCCCTCATTAATTATTTGCTATTAATTGCCATTAGCCCTTTAGTGGCCTCTAATTACCTGATCACTAATCATCCCTTATACCCTCCAGTATTAATTACCCCCATTATTAATTAGTCTTTTATCTTCCATCACTCCCCCATTTCCCCTGTTATTATGCTGCAACAGAACACTGGGATTAATTACCCCAGAATTAACTACCCCATCCCCATTATTAATTACCCTCATAACCCCTCTGATCTTGCCTTTTTACATTATTGTCTTTTTACCCCCATAACCTCCTATTACCCCAGCAAGATACATTTAATTACCCCTATAATCCCTTCTTTACACTCAGTGCCCTCCCCTCACCTTTCCCAGGTGTTCTTGCTTTTCCAGCCTCACCAGCCCACCTCCCCCCAAACTTGCCCAGGTGTTCCTGCACCTTGAGTTCCTCCAGATGCCCCCTCAGCCCCCCCAGGTGTGTCCCCCCCTCACCTTGCCCTGGTGCTCCCGCACCTCGAGTCCCCCCAGGTCCCTCAGAGTCTCTGCTGCAGCCCGGGCGGGCGCCCAYAGCCCCCCAGCACAGAGCACGTGCAGCAGCCTGGGGGTGGAGGAGGGTTACAGTGGACCCCCTTGCCCCTCTTCCTGCCCTCCAYATTCCACCCAGAACCCAGACCCACCAAAAGGACTTGTCACACCATGGCCCCTCCCCAGCCACCCCGTGGGACTCCCCAGCACCCTCTTGCCCCACTGACTCCCCAACTGCCTCCCAGTTGGCCCCCCACTGACCTCTACATTGACTCTCCTGTTTACCCCACACTGACCATCTGCACTGATCCCACTTCACCCCACTGCCCCCACCACTGAACCACTGACTCCCTCAAATGCCGCCCCATTGATGCCTCCCATTTAGCCCTTTTGACCTCTCACGGACCCCTTGACCCCATACCCCCTCATGACATCCATACTCCCCAGTGCCCTTCTCTGGTCCCCGTCACTCACGTGTCCCCCTCCTCGTCCTGTCGCAGCAGTTCCTGGGGGTCTCGGCCCCTCAGAGCGGCGCGGGCGGCTGCCARTTCCTGGGGTTCAGGATTCGGGCCTGGGGTCTCCCTTCCCACGGCAGAGCCCCCAAATTCTCCCCACAGCACCGTGGGATAAGGCCAGGCAGGGCCRGGGGTGGCAGCAGCCTTGGGGGGACAGCAGTCAAGATGGTGAGGGGCTGAGTCCCAGTTATCCCCCAGGGCTCCAGGTGCCCCCCCAAATCCTGCCCTAATGACCCAGCCCATTTTCCTCCCTTTGCCTCCCCAGCTGCCACCCTATTGCCCCCATTTACATCATTTCCCCCCATTGCTGCCCCCACTGCCCCCCTGTTGCCCCTCCACTGCCCCCAATTGCTTTCTTCATTTTGCCCCATTCCCTCCCTTCACCATCTTATTGTCCCCATTTGACTCCCCATTGCTCCACCATTCCTCTCCCCAGTTGTCAGTTCCCCCCCATTCTCCCCCTCGGGGGGGACCCTTTGCTTTCTTCTCCCCCTATTTCCCCTATCCCCTCCCATTCCCCTCCATTCTCCCCCATTGCCCTATCATTTTCCCCCACTGACTCCTATTTACCACACTGGCCCCTCTTTAACCCCCCAGTTGCATCCCCCATTTCTCCCCTTCTCCCACTCCGACCCCCCTCACCTGAAAAGCCCTCAAACCGGGGGCCCTTCCCCCATGGGGCGGCATTTGTGGGACACCGCCGGGGTCACTGGGGGGGGCGCCGGGCCAGGGGTCACCTGAGGGAAGAGCAGGTGATGGGGGAGACATCGGGAGGGACTTGGGGGACACAGGGAGGATTGTGGGGGACTAGGGCGTGGGGAGGGGGCATGGAGAGGGTTTAGGGAGCATAGGGTAAGTGGGGTAGGATCTGGGGGGGTCGGAGTTCACTCACCATCCGAGGGGCGCGAGGAGGGCAGAGCCAAAACCTGGGGGACAGAGGGGACAGCGAAGGGGGTCAGCGAGGGGAGTGGGGGTGTCCCGGGGAACGGGGCCATCTGGGAGAGGGGCTCACCCACCGGAGATCTCGCCCCTTCTCTGCTCTGCCGTAGCTCCTTCAGCAGCTGCTTCACCGTCTGGGGCGGAGCGGCTCGGGGCGGACCTGGCGGGATTTGAGGGATCACTGGGATGCCGGCGAACCCTGAAAACTCCTAGAACCCCTGCGAACGCTCAGGYTTCCCCCAAACCCCCGTGTCTCACCCAGACGGTAGGAGGTCTCCCCTGCACTCCTCAGGCCCCTCAAACCCCCTGGCCCCCCAATCCCCCATGTCCCAAGCGGGTTCCCCCAAACCGCTGGGCCCTCCCCCGCCCCAGCGAGGCGGGAATGTCCCTGTGGTGCCGTCACGGGGATTCCCATTCGTCACCACCGCCCCCGCGGCACCGCCAACCCCCGGCCCTGAGGGGAGAAGAGAATCCCGCGGGAGGGCCCGGGCATTGCCCCGCTCCCTCAGGGCCACTGACCCCGCTCCTCGCCCCCAGCTCTCATMAAGGGTCAGCATTCCCTTCTTGTCTCTCTTAAACGTCCCCAAAAAGCGAGACTTAAAGGGCCAGTGTCCCCTAAAGGGGTGTTAAAAGGCCAGCGTTTCCTCCCAAGAGTTTAAAACAGCCAGCACCCTGTCCCAGAGCTTTTAAAAGGCTAAGAGCCCGCTAAGAGCGGATCYTAAAGGGCCCGCGACACACCCCTCACCCCCTGAAATTCCCCCATACCTCTCTGGGGCCGCATTCCGCGGGGTCCGGGGCCAAATGGGGCCGGGGCGGCCGCGGGGACGGTTTTGGGGAGACCGGGGGGAGGAAGCCCCGCCCCGGAGGGAAACGCCACCAAAACGCCAACGCTGTCACCGTTGCGAGGGTGACACAGGGCGGGGATTCGGAGGGGCCCGTGGGACACAATGGATGGATGAAGGTGGCCGGGTCACCCGGGGCCGGGGGCATTTGGGGGTGTCGGGAGGGGTCACAGATCCTGAGTTGTTCCTTTATGGAGTCATCAACACAGGTTTGGGGTGACCATCCAGGACTCGCACACCCTCATTATTTTGTGTGAATCTTAGCCCCGTTTGGAGGGCTCTCTTCCCTATTCTAGGTGGGGGCTCTGTCTCCCCAGCCCTAGAAGACCATGAGACCCACCAAGACCATGAAGACTCTCAAGATCCCAGGGATGATGCCTTTATGGGGTGGGGGATGATACACCAGGCTGTCCCCCTACCCACAATTTGCAKGGTGTCAGTGCTCCCCTCCATATCCCCCGTTCTGCAGGGTGGGGTGTCTTACCCATTTGGGGGAATCTTTGCCCTATTTGAGGGACATTTCTGACCCACTTGGCGGGGCATKTAAGATGGTGGGGCTCTGCCCAGTTTTGGTGAGAATCTCTGGCACATGGGACACCCAACTCCAGGAAACCACAAGAACCGCTGAGATACGAAAACCCCTGAGACCACCAAGGTTGGTGGTTTTGTTTCAGGGGATGACGCACATCAGGGGGGTTTCCTCCAGGATCCCAATTGAGATGGGTGTCACAAGTGTACTTTCTACTACATAGGCTGCTGAACCTTGACCAGTCCTGAAGCTTACTCAGACAGGCAGCTCCACTTCCCCAAATGGTAGAACACACCTGCCCTGATGCCTTAGGATTTTTAGTTTCTATATTTTCATGCATCTGTATTCTTGTACTTCTCTAGTACAGCACTAAAACTACCGTTCTCACATCTTTAGACAAAACAATTCCTCTCTGAGCCTGAATCCAAGGACACCTTGCTGCTTCAGAGCCCCAAAATATGGAAACAACAGCGAGTTGTGGGGRGACCAATTTTGGGGTGGTTGACATCATCACCTGAAAAAAATCATTGGAGAATGAAGACCCAGTATGTTAATAMGGCAGAACTTACAAAAGTGAAGATCTCGTGACTCTGTGTCCACTTTGAGTGTAACCTCAGGAGGAGRCTTTGTCTGCCCTAATGTACGAGGGTGCCTGTTAGGCCTGGATTAAAGTTGTCTATTCTCATTCTCTTAAATTTGTCGGGCCTCTGTTTCAAATTAGCCTGATTGAGAAGGATTGTTTCAGCCCAAGGAGCTGAAACAGCTCAAGAGCAGCCAGCAACTGAAGGAACAGCAAAGCACTCTGACTAGAGGATGCAGCTTATATACCCCAGGCTCTTTGCCTCAGTGGCTGCACCTTTTGCTGCCCCAGCCCATCCCTTCCTGAAGCCATTTTTAATCCTTGGCTCAGCCACTTTCACACATCATGAGTACAATCTAGGTGCTGCAGACCACAGGTGAAGCCCATTTCTATTCTGCTGGCCCCAAACACACACTGACCCTGAGCCCAGGAGATGGATACAGYGCAGGCAGAAAAGAAGGAAAAAATTAAAGAAGGAGCCTAATAAAGTAGACATGGAAAGAAACTCGAAAATGCAAAATGGAGCAAGGTCAGGAGAGAACTAAAAAAAGGTACAGAAAGCTACACTACCAGTGTGTGTATATATTAAAAATTTTAAAGACAAGGGATTAAGAGAGGAAAAGACAGCAAGCTAGATAAAAGTATACAGAAAATCCAAAATTTTAAAGCTAAGGAACTAAAAGAGGAATGAATTAAAAAAACATCAACAGCGAACTAAGATAAAGACAGAAACTGTAAAAAAACCCCTTAAACTTTCTGGTACARGCCAGGGCATCTTCAGAAAATTTGCTTGTGAAAGTGAAAATATAAATGTGCACCTACTGATTTGCATGTGTATCTTAGCAATCAAAAGTGAATCTATAAGGCAGCACAGAAAATAGACAAATGTGAAGAATATGTGCTTCCATCTTTATACTATAATCTCTATTCTGCCTTCAAACACAGTTCTGCTGRATTTGGCAGTCCTAAAGAYAACATTGGGTAGTACAGTTGTTCAAATTTCTCATTATTGCAGTTTATTCTACTTCACCACTGAAAGAAAACTATGGGAATGGGTTCATGTTACCCTGAAAACCTGTAGGATGCATCACTGATGATTGTGCCTCTAGTTATCTCRCTCCATTGTAGGTCAGACGGATATAGCAGAAAGTAAAAATCCATTCTACATACAAAGTGCACATTATTGATGTATGGAAATGAAAAGGCCTTGCTCTTCAGAGAATATTTCCATGATTGGAGGCTTACTGTGACATTTGATCTGAAGCTAAGAAAGCACAGTATAGCCATAAAAATTTAGGGAATGTTTTGCAGTGAATCCACCACTGATAAAAAGCCAGTGAAGCTGGAAGAAAAATGARTAGTCTCTCCTTACATCACTAAGTTACTAAATACTGAACGTTGAAATAAACAGTTTGTGTAAATAGTAGTTGCAAGATGTCTGAACTAAATTAAAAARCAGACCCAGCACTATGAAATTRTTGTTGACACTTGAATTTATTTTCYCTCATGACTTGAGATAGTKCATCCTGGAACACTGTGTGCAGATCGTTAAATGTTTGTTTTAACGTTTAAACGAGTTTTAACATTTTAACTTTTTTTTAACGTTTTAACAAGTAAATCTCCAGCCATGGTAGCTCAGCCTCACCAAACACTTGGGGTTTTAAACAAAGCTTCAGCATCTTTGCATGAGCTGGCAGGGGTATGGGTGTCTGGATCACTTCAACACACAGAAAGCATTTTTTATCAATAACAGAAAAATATTTAGAAACGTACTTTAAGTACTTGATAGAAGAGATGTATGATTAGAATCCTGGTTTAAGTACTTCATAGAAACAGCTGGCTGTAGATTGYTAGCTTGCTAAAATGATTGAGCACTTTCAGGCAAGCTGTCATTTAAGTATGAAATCGGACATGACCTATTGACTGATCTTCAGTGCCAAAATTAAAAKATAATGATTAGCTTTTTAGAGTTTGCAGCAGGGGAAGTTTATTCAACCTTTATAGGACATTTGAATCAGCACTRCACTTTTCCAGAGTGCTGAAGAGGATCATCTAAAAGAACATTATAGTGCTAGATGTGCTTTTTAACTCATTTCAGTCCTGGCAGTGGACTTGCACATTAACACCAGGCATGGCTAAAGAATCTGTGCCCTTGGCCACTGCACTGCTAATGCTGCCTGTAGAACAATTTTTGCACACAAAATAAACATTTTTTTTTTCCTTTTTGTAAAATGAGGTCTTTTTCCCTCCCACTGCTGAACACTTCTTAATGTTTAGAGTGTTTGAAAGGGTTTCCCCAGCTTACCATCAGTACCCAGAATGGACTGTAGCAGTCTGATGGCCTAAAAAAAATCAAGTAGAACTTTAAACTTTCTTAAATAATTTTCATGCATCATCTTAAATTACAATCTGTGATCTATCCTCATGTGCCAAGGGGAATTTTTAAAGAGASCAATGGAGGGAATGAGTTTGGAGGGACAAAAAGTACTGCCATTGATGTTTTTACATTGGGAGTGTGGTGCTAAGCTGTTGCAGGAGAACAGACTGTCTGCACAAATTGACAATCATAGTGTTTGGGAAGATTTACTTTCTTTTGCGCAGAAACGGAATGTTTACTACTACAGAGATGTGTAAACTAAAACAGAACAAAAGTTCTCTTTTGTTCTTTTTTTCTGAGGCTAAGACTGTTCTTAAAATTTAGAAGGTGATACAGAGGCAAAAGAGAAGACAACCTCAAAGAACTTAAAGCTGCAGGTATTTTATTTCCAACTTTTTAAAAATGAGTATATTTTACCTTTCATAATTAAATTATGCTTGGAGCAGTAGTGGACTGAACAATAGATCGATTTTCTCCTCCCTTCAGCCCTAGCAAATATAAATTCCATGTGCAAAGCTCACACTCTATCACTTGCTCCTGTAGCAAAATAAACTGCTTATAATGTGTGAATTTACTCACATAGACGGAAGATGGCAGGGGTTATAACTTTTTATTGGACGTCGCAGATGTTCAATTATACACATTTTTGTAGAAAAAGGTATGTTTTATTTTTAATTTACCATTTATTTTTAATTTGTTTTTCTTTCAAAAATGTCTAAYTTGCCTATTCATGTACTGATTTGCAAAAGTATTTTCATGTTTAGAAAGCTTAACGTAACGATTCCTCTACAGACATCAGTGTTGCAGCCATAAGAGTCCAGCTTCTGTGACTTGTTAGCACTCCTGTTTCACAGGGTGAAAATTAATCCCATTTGAAAAGAAAATGCTATGCTAAAGCCCCTTTATCCTAAAAAATACCAAAATAAGATACTATTCTATTGAATTGTGCTGTACACACAATGAAAATGTACAGGTGTTTGGCTTGTCCCCACAAATTAAAAAAAWTGTTACAATTGTATRYGTATACAATAACATAAATACTGAAAAGGAATTCAAAATCTTGTCTGCAATGTAGCGTCCTGTTAATGGAGAAACAAACATATGGAGGAAAGGTGAGATGTACAATTACACAGTTTATTACCAGTTTATCTGTATGCAGGTGTACAATTACACAAYTTATTAYYAGTTTATCTGTATTCAGATGACAGYCATTTAGAAAAATGCTGGTAAAGAATTTTTGTGTAAATAATTTATTTTTTCTAAGAGTTGTGGCCAAAGATAATAATGCTTGACACTTAGGCACTCTATTTACTGTTTTGAATGCAGGGATCATTGATCAGAGGAAACTAGACCAATTACAGTAATACTATTTATTTATTGTTGACATCCATAAACCAAAAGCAAATGTCTTCACAGAATATGCTTAAACATGTCCTTTTAATTAAAAATACTTTTTGTGAGATGATTTATTCCCTCTTGAGCTCCTTTATATAACCAATTTTCTCTATGAAACAGTAATTAGACTGCCATAATTACAGCTGTGACATGGGGCTTGGAACATCCAAAAAAGAGGATATTCCCGTACCTTGATAAGTGTCCTAAATAAAAATGTACTGCTCTCACATTGCTATTGGATGATGGTTCAAATGGATCGCATAATGCTCTTAAAATCCTGCTACAAGTCAGGCTCTCTAGTTTCCAGTGATCTGATGCAGACTGAGGGTGTTCAATATCTTGTAGTCATGTGCCTATTGGGGTGTTAATAATAAAGTAGACACAAGAAGCTGATGCAGTTCTCCATCTCACAGATTAGAGAAMATAACACCTAGATTATCAATGAGCAGTTGGTCATGTTGTCATGGTTACAGTGTGAGATGTGATAGTCATTCCCAGTGTTGTTTTTTTCACAATGCATTAAGTAAGGAATGCAGCTTTTACAATGTTTGATACTTTTTTCTCTCATAGATTTTAGTGTTAATATGGCAAAATAAGCATGGGAGACTGGAATTTCCTTGGAGGCATTTTAGAGGAGGTCCACATTCATTCCACTATTATTGGAAAGATATGGCTAACGATCCTCTTCATATTTCGAATGCTTGTCCTTGGAGTGGCAACGGAGGATGTTTGGAATGATGAACAATCAGAATTTATATGCAATACCGAGCAGCCTGGTTGCAGAAATGTGTGCTATGATGAGGCCTTTCCCATCTCTCTCATAAGATACTGGGTCTTGCAAGTTATATTTGTATCTTCCCCTTCCTTGGTATATATGGGTCATGCCTTATACAGACTAAGAGCATTGGAAAAAGARAGGCAAAAAAAGAAAGCTCAGGTAAGGGTGGAACTTGAAAGCACTGAAYTAGAAATGACAGAAAACCGTAAAAGACTGGAGAGAGAACTCCGGCAATTGGATCAGAAGAAGCTAAACAAAGCACCGCTRAGAGGTTCTTTGCTCTGCACTTATGTGATACATATTTTCACAAGATCTGCAGTGGAAGTTGGCTTTATGATTGGGCAGTATCTTCTTTATGGCTTTCACTTAGATCCCCTATATAAATGTCAGAGAGACCCATGTCCAAACACAGTTGACTGCTTTGTATCTAGACCAACAGAAAAGACAGTGTTTATATTATTTATGCAATCAATAGCAACTGTATCATTGCTTTTAAATATTCTAGAAATTATCCAYTTAGGATTCCGAAAAATTAAAATGGGACTCTGTGAGCAGAATAAAAACAAGGATTACTCTGACAGTTTCTACACAAACAAATCTAAGAAATACTCTGTGATACATCACTCTTCTTTYGGAATATCCACCACCCCTCAGAAAACTCTTCCTTGTGCACTTAGCAGTTATACCTTTCTGATGGAAAAGCAAACTGACACTATGCTCTACCCAGTTTTAAAYTCTCCTTCTGTGTTTCAGTCTGCACCAAATAACTGTACAGAAAACAGCAGCAATTACACCCATTGCAATCAGGAAAATAAATCACCAAAGAGGCCAGCTACAAATGCTTTAGACAATCAGACTCAAAATAGTAGCACAAATAACAATGAAGAATTTCTTGGTGACCTTTGGACTGAAGAGCATGAGGCACAGAAAGAAGCTGAAAAGAAACATTTTCTTGTTGTTACTCAGAATGCAGACACAACTTCAAACATGTGCTTGACAAGCTTTGCTGAGATGCCATCTCAAACTTCATTGCAACCTGATACAACTTTTCCTAGCACCAGTTTTAGACAACAGGCAATGGTTGAGAGCACAGGAGCATCAACAAATTCTCTTCCAAAGAACACTGACAGAAGACAAAGCAGTTTCAGTGTAAACAAAGCCCAAATTCCTTGTAATGCTGATGTAAAAAATTCCAGCCAACCAGACACTCCTGACTCTACAGGGCAGGAGAGCTCACAATCAACACAAAGTAGAAACTGGAACAGTCCCAAGCTTTTCTCTCTGTCAAGGCAACAGTCACAGTCAAGTAATGCCAGCAGTAGGCGTGCTCCCACTGATCTTCAAATATAGCATGAGTTAACCCATCAGCTGCAGTAACCAATGCTGGGATAATTCCTGAGCAGAGACATAACCCAGACCGATGTGTAAGTGTAGCTAAACCATTCAACTTTAACCAGCTGTTTACACAGATAGAAAAGTTGTGTAACCCATCGAATAGTAGCTCAGTAATTTTAAACAGTCCTTTGCTTCCTTTGTAATGAAAAAGTGGCATAGACCTCAGTGTATAAACTTCTACACTCCAGCTGAAAAGAAAAGCATACATCCTATCAGTCCACATTTTAGGAAACATCAGTCATAAAATCACAAGTGATACTATTTAAACTAAATAAAAGTAGAAGAAAAAATTTACAGTCTAACAATATTTTTTACAAAGAGTAAAAATCAAAATTAAGTAAATCAAATTAAGCTAAGGATGACACTGGTGCTCTCGGAAGAATTTATTGGTAAACATGTTTCTGCTTAATCGGTCTGAAAATTCAAACAGACATTTGATAGCTGTCTGAAAGCAGAACGTCAGACATATTCCACTGTTCAAACTGTGTCAAATATAAGGAGAAAAAATTTGAAATACAGATCACTAATTCTTTTACTCCATGGTACACTTTTTCTTTTTCAGTGTATTGCCACTGACTTCTTCAGCAGAAAAATCAAAGTATATTTCTTATAGAATTCAATACACCACAACATTTGTAAAGCATCACAAATTACTCACACGTTGTGAGCCTTAATTTTGACATTTTTCATAACTTACGATAGCAAGATCAGAAAACAAGTTGCTGAAATTTATTAATCAGGCATTTTGAATTTCACAAACCAGAAGGCTTACTATGGAAAATAGAAGACAATAAAACTAAGAACAGAGAACAAAAAAGAGCACCTTCCTGCTTTGGTTATGGTATCAAAGTATGGTAGCACCTTCCTGCTTTTAGTTACGGTATCAAAAGACATATAAAAGGTTTATCAAACAGTAAAACTACTCCATTTTTGTCTATCTCTCCCCCAAATTCTGATAAACTAGTATTGTTCCATGTGTATACATAAATACAGCCCTACACAATTGTGTTTACACTGTAAAATTTACTGGAATAATATACTGGAGTAATATACTGGAATGTAGCTAAAGGTATAGTGTGATTTAGGCAAGTTAATGCTGCTGCTGTGGCTTTGATTCTTGCATTTCTTGATACATAAGATTCTGTGGGCAATAACTGCTAATGCTTGTTTTGTATTTAATCTCTTCCTAATAAAAAGCCTAGAACTAATGCACTCTGTTCTCGCTGCCTAAATAATAGAAATTATAGCATTTAGATATTCATGTATAGGATATGGCATTTGTATTTTTGTTTTTCAATAGAAGTTACAAAAGAATTTGGTTTTCTGCTGTTGTGAGAGGAATTTTATCAACTTTTTTGTGTCTGGACATGAGTAAAACATTCTGTTTCATCACAGCACCTTGCCAACGAAAAAGTAACTTAATTCCCTTGTAAAATATAAACATTGCAGAAGAGTGTGGAGAAAAAGTGCGAAAACTCCCTAACATCGTACATGCAAGATCATTTGGTTGGTTTATTTTTTTATTACTTTTTTTTTATTATTTCTATAATAAATAGATTTTATCTATCAGTAGATACCACAGAGTTTCGGAAAAATAAAGTGGTATAATTTCTTCTGGTTTTTTTTTCGTTTTCTTTTTTTGTTTGTTTGTTGGGGGGTTTTTTTGGTTTTTTTTTTAATTTATTTTTGGTTTTGTTTTTTTTTTGAACGCGCTAAGGCAAAAAACTCCTTTTGATGCACATCACTTTTCCGAGCAGCTCTGCAGCCGCTGCTAGCTGCAACTTTCTCCTGTGATTTCAGTCAGCTGCAGCTACTGCTCGAGCRAGCAGAGGGACAGCTCGGAGCTCCGACCGAACTCACAGACACCGCGCCCTGGAGCCCCGCTCAGGCCGCCCTCCGGTCCGGACGATTCCTGCCGCGACACTGCTCCCTCACCGGGGAGCTCCGGGGCCGTGTGTGGCGACATCCCCCGGGCAGCTGAGGAGCCCCGGAATTGCCGGSTTCCCAAACGCCGGAGAGGAGAGCAGGGCGGAGAGGGACAAGCCCAGAGCCGCGCAAGGAAGGGGCTTTCCCTCGGGCAACGAGCAGGACGGCGAGAACGCCCTGAGGAGGCCGTGAGGAGGCCGTGAGGAGCCGTGAGGAGCCGTGAGGGGGGCGAGGGCAGCGCGCGGAGCCCCACGCGCGGGGGAGGCCGAGGGCGTTGCTGCCGCCCCGTCGCTCCGGTAACCGCGGGGAAGCGCTCGCCGCCTTAAAGCGCAGGGCGCAGGCGCGGCGCCGGGGCAGGCGCGGTGCGGGTTAGATGGCGCACTACAAGGTAGGGGGGAGCGCGCCGGCGTGGGCGCGGTGCCGCTCTCTGTGCCGTCTGCGCGGAGCGGCGGGCCGCCGACCGACACCGGCTCGGCCCTTCGTGCCGCCTCCGCGGCGGAGAGCGGGACCGGCCTGGGCCAAAGGGCCGCCTCCGCAGTCGAGGCGGGGTGCGCCGCCGAACTGACCGTGTGGGCGTCCTCCCTCAGGCCACGGACTCCAAACGGGAGCAGTTCCGCCAGTACTTGGAGAAGTCGGGAGTGCTGGACATGCTCACCAAGGGTAAGTCTGTGGCTCGCGTCGCATCGCCCGAGGGGCCAGCGGGCGCTCTCCGGGGGCGTTGCGGGCGGGTGCCGTTCCTCTCACGGTGTCCYGCTTCCGCGGAGCAGCTGCCCGCCCTTCACGGCAGCTTTGCGGTCGTCCCTTGGGCTTGCCTTGCCGCTCTTCCACCGGCTYCCCGCCTCGCCTCGCCGGTCGCTTTTTCTCCTCAGTCGGCGAGGCGGCCGGCAGGAGAACTCGCCTGGAAAAAAAACTTGGTGCGGCGTGGCCTGGAAATGGAGTCCGAGCTGGGCGGCGAGGCGGTGCACGCTGGGAGAGGGCAGAGGGCCTCTGCAAACGTGCCCCGTGAGCTGCACACCATTCATTGCTCGCACCTTCAGCCTGTGAGGGTCCATTGGTAGAGGTGCGTGTAGAGCAGCAAGGCGGTTCCTTTCCCCGCATGTGGTGTGTTGGAGACCTCTCTYCCTCGGTCAAAGTGCTCCTTTTAATGTGTGCTTTTGGTTATTTTCTTTAATTGTGTACTTTTCGTTCAGTTCTGGGGACTGTTAYTCTGCCAGTGCTCTAGAGAGGAAGTAAATGCTTGAGAAACAACAGAAAATGTTATCTTAAAAAGACTTCAATTGCTTAATACCCTTTCCTGAGTGGAGCTTMGTGCTTTTTCCAAAATGAATGAAACTAAGTTCTGGAATAATGATTATCCGTATCAAACTGGAGAAWATTATGATGCTCAACGTGACACACATGGCTTGGCGTCTTTGAAATCCTGAAGYCTTTTTTGAGAGTCTTCCAATAGTATGTGGCAAAAATCCGTTAATATTTCTGATTGAAAACATGCTGTTTAAAGAGGGAGCAGCAGATCTAGGATGGCAAATGAATAGCTGCTGTGCTCTTTGCCACTCTTTGCCACTCTTTGACGTGGTGTGTGCCACTTGATTTTTCAATTGCAATACCACCTGTGGGATGGCAAAACAAGTCTTTCAAGCAGTRAGGCATCCTAATTTTGCTTTAACTTAGGAGGCGCATAGCAGAAAACCAATTTAGTTATGCAGTTTGGACATATGAAACTGGCACATCACCCCTGTGGAGAGTAGGGAGTTACGTTTGGGAACTTTCTGGGTATTYATGAATCTCCCGTTATGTTTCTATGTGTATGGCTAGTTTTATTTAAGTTGTTATATTGCTGCTTGTGTCTGTGGTTTTGGCATTAGAGCCCACATTYGTAAAGATTATCAGTGTCACCTGCTCTGACAGTAGCCATTTAGTTTTGTAACTGTAGGTGTTCAATGGAGGTTTGCTTTTAGGTTTGCTTTTATGCYGAAAGTTACAGAACTTCTGATATCTTGTGATTCAAAGATGTAGCCTAAGTAAAAGTTGTATGAACAATACCGTTAGAATTTCAGTCTTACTGATGAAAGCTAGTACTAGGTTACATGTGGTATATGCAAAACTGTTCAGGCTTTTTTTCTATTCTGTGCTAGAATAGCCAAAGATTATGTGGGGTTAGGGAACAAGAAAACTCTATTTAGCTGTTACTAAGTGCTGTGCTCTGCCCCCTCCTATACAGCAGACCTGTTGCTTATGTCAAAGTATACAGGTGAAAATCTTGTTAAATGGAGAAAGGCARCTTGTATGCTTTCTGACCGCTGGTATGTGTTTTAAAAACTTAAGAGTTGCATGAACTTCTTGCAATTGTTGAATATTTTCTATTTGCAGTGTTGGTAGCCTTATATGAAGAGCCAGAGAAACCAGATAGTGCACTGGAGTATCCTTTTTCTCTGCTGTGACTTGTTGAGACTTCATGCACAGTGCTGCTTCTGACTCGTGGGTGAACTGGATAGGCTCATTTCAAAGCCTTGCACTGAGAATTGGCTTTTGTCTATGCATTTTACATAATAATTGCATTTTCACAAGCTCACAGAGTTTGACAAGGATTCAAGAGAATTGGGTATTTTAGTATGCCGGCACTTATGAAGCTAAGTTTKAGGCCATTACAGAGCATTGTAGACCTGCAGCGCTAGATTTGAGTCTCTGCTGTGACTATGGGTTCTGAAGTTTGCTTCTTCACACTTCCTTTTTTGTTGTTTTTTTTTTAAAATACACAGGGGATGGGGGAATTAACATATTTTGTTTCTTGCTGTTTTTAAGCAGCCTCCATTTTTGGGTATCGCTTTTTTTTCTGGTTATTTCTTTTCATTCTTCAAAACTTCTGCATTTAAGAAGAGAAAAGAAGGGGATAGTAACACGTAAGATTTTGTACTGATATCTTGTTTTTGTTTGTTTGTTTTTAAGGAATATAGCTATGAATTTGAAAAGCTCTCTTATTTTTGTAACTTCTTTCCATAGGATAAAAAGCACTGTCATAATCTCAATGGTTTACTACAATTTTGGTCACGTGTACTGCAGTGTTAACTTCAACATGGGTGTTAAAAAGAAAATGTGGTTATATAAGTGGAGAAATACTTAACATCTAAATATCAGTTTTCTGAAGCATCACCTGGGAGCTTCAGCTCCTGAGAATCCGGAAATAGAGGCACTTCGCTTGGAAGTGGCAGAGATGAAAGAAAAATATGAAGCTGTGCTGGAAGAAAATAAAAAACTGAAAACCAAGGTAAAAGTCTACTTGGTGTTACTCTATAGTTCCATATTATACAACAAGAAAAATATTGTAATACTTACAATGCAGCTAACTTTCTTCTATTAGAGTAACTGATAAATGTTGCACTGTTTAGCCTCATGATTGAGAAATGCTGATAGAATTCATTGTAGTAAAGATTATTATTTTTTATGAACACTTCTTATAGAATATAATAGAAAATATTACTAAACTAGGGATTTTATTTATTTAGGGAAAGTCTGTTATCACGTCTAATGYATTGTCATTCAGTCCTGTCCTGTTTAAGTTGTCTGATATTATGTAGCTCATGCTTTCAGGACAGTTTTGAAAAACAAGCAAGGTGATGTATCCATTATAAAGGCTTTCAAAAGGCAAATTGAAGGAGGAATATTTTATATTACTTTGTGTCACTTGACACAGAGTTACACGTGGCAGGATATTATCAGTGAAGGCATCCATGTGGATTGATAATTTGCGCTTTCTACCTAAAATGACCCTGGTATTTATCTGCAACAACAGAGAATCYGAAGTGCTGTCTAAGTCTATTCTTTAATGAGTCTGCAGGCTGTTAGAGAGCTCTGAGGTGTGAACAGCTTCTAATAACACTAAAGAAGGAAACCCTTGAGATGCTTAATATSCTAATAGCTTATGTGCCACTGCAGGTTTCCATGCATTTGTTGAAAGAGGATGGTGGCTGTTATATGTGAATACCCATGATTTTTTACTGGGAGGCAACCACCTCACTTTAGTTCTGTGAGAAAGGATTCTTGGGCATTACCCCTTTGTATTTCTTGCCCAGATTGCCGTCTTGGTGTCCTAGTAATTCTTCTTCCCTGTTACCCACTGTGAATCCTCAGCTACRTTTGTTATTTCTTACTAGGAAATATGGCAAAGAACAGAATTTTAGAAGGAGTAGCTCTAGACCAGCCATTTGTTTTAGCAGACTTAAAAATGCAGCTGATAGTAAGTAGACAGATGAGAGCAGAGTAATCTGGGTCTTCGTCTAAAGAAGTCTTTTAAAGAAGTCAAAACTTGTTGCAGGAAAGTAAGCCTTTTTGTAATCATGGGTTAATTTGTGTTTTCATGTTCTTCATTCTTTAAATTATAACTTCTTTACATCCTTTTTCCAGTATTAGTGGGTTTTGGTTTTTCCCTTTATTTCCTCTGCAATGTAATGCCCACCATTCTTACATGCTGTAGAAGTTCACACAGCATGCAGGGAGGACACTATCATTTAACTTTGAGTAGTCCTCTTAACATAAAATACATCCCTTTATCTGTGCATTTATTGATAACCGCTGTTGCATTTATCTGAAGATCTTTTTTCTTACCTTTATTACTCAGAATGTCAGATATTTGTGTGTGTGTTGGGAGGATGACAAGAAGTCAACAGTTAGGTCCTTAGCAGAAAAGAAAACTGAGGTTGTGTACTAGTCATCTGTTATAGTAAAATCTACAACAATGAAAAAATACAATTTTAGTGGTTCTTGTTAGCAGCAGAATGATTGCTGCAATTTACTGTTGCTGGTAGGAAGGAACACATGGATATTTTAATTTATTTTTATRTGTTTATTATTTATTTTTATTTATGCTTTTAAATTTATTTTATGTACTTTGTTTATTTTTAACCCACTCTGCAGTTTGCAGAGGGCAGGAATCTTAATTGAGTGAACTGAACCAGCATATTTCAGAGAGAYGGCCCTAATTCTTGAATTGGTTTTGAAGCTTGAACTTGTCTTGAACTTGCTTGAACTTGCATTGAGGTCAAGTGAACACCTTCGWATCTTTCTTTGGTACTAACTTTACAAGCAAAGGTCATATTTAAGTGCACAGTTGCCCGGGCTATACTCTCCAGAAAGCGTAATGGGAGCTACAATGATTACAAGAAACRTTGGTTAGATACTATTGCAATAAAAATGACTGACTGTTTCATTTAATCCTATAAAGCTTGTAGGACACTAATCACTATCAGCTGCTAAGATGAAAAGTACTTAATGAYTGCTAGAATAAGAAACAAGGAAAARTTAAGGGCAAGAMATGTGTGCTACAAAGTGCATTTAATAATCCACCTTGTTATGGCTGCATGGTTACACAGTGTGAGAAATTGGTCTTTTAGGAGAAGGGCTACTTTATTGCCTGGCTTGAAAATGGACTTGCATAAAGATGAGTGAGTAAATGTAAAATAAATGGAACAAGTCCAGACAATACATTTTCCTAYGCTKCTTTAATATAGAGTGTTTACATGAAATATTGCAACTAACTAAATTCCTTTCTTTAAATCCACAGCTGGCTCAGTATGAAGCACCTCAAGATGAGAAGCATGGTGAATAACAGTAGTTTTTCCTTTAATGCCTTGACTTAATAAAGGGCTTCCTGAGAAATGTGGTTTGTGTGTGTGTAAACTCTGCATTGTCTACTTTGTTACATCATCACATTAAAGAAAGAATGCATTATCATGAGCATGCAGATGCAGTGGCAACTACTGAGTTAACCATACTGGCCAACATTCTTGCTTTCTGTGTTTAAGAAAAGATGATGGTTATGATTAACTTTTAGATAACTGTGCCTGCCAGCTTCATGTAATTTTCACATCATGGTCAATGGTCCGGTTGCACTGCTGATCTGTCTCTTTGTTTTCTTTTAACTGAAAGGGGTGACATGACATTGATGGACCAACTGTAAACTAAAGCAGGACCTTCAGATTACTATGTTTGTACTCGGCACTGAGGTGAGACTTCTACTGAAGCTGATAGGGTAACTCTCTACTCAGAGGGGCATAAAATGAGCAATTAGTCAAGTGATGGATATAGCAGAGTGTTGAAATGCAGGACCTACTGAACTTGCACTTTCATTTGCATGAGGTGTACCTTTTCCTATGCAGTTCATATCTCTAACTCCATCTCAGAAACTGGGCCTTAGAGTATTGATCTAGATATTGCCTGTGCAGTTCTGAGCATAATACAAAATTCTTACTAATGAAAGTCCTGTGTAATTACATTGGCACACGTAAGAGTACAGTGTGGACGGTTCTGCTTTCTGATTCATCTAACAGGGAAAATAAAATCCAAGCAGGGTGGCATGCAATGTGATTTATCATTATTCATTTTGCCTATGTTCTGTCTCCTCTTTCCCTGAATGGGTTGCATGACTTTTCTGAAATGCAAAGTAGACCTTTAAAGAATTATCACTTTTTTTTTCCCCCATAAAGGGCTCTCATTTGTTTCCTACCCTTAAACTAGGTACTTTAAAAGCAGCTGATGACAGGAAAAATAAAGGGGGAAATGAAATGCAGTAGTTGTCCTGTGTATTAGATTTATAGGTTGTTAGTCTGCAAAACCCATCCTAAAAATAAGGAAGCTAAATTATCTTGAGAATGTGGTTGGAGGGATCATTGTTAGTCATAATCAAGGGCTAGTGAATATAATAATTGCATACTTTACTCTTGTATTTATTGACCTAAAYAGACCAGAAGAGAGGTAAATGAGGGGAAAATACTATTCTGTCTGTAAAGCATTAATTAGAAAAAAMCCAGCCTGAAACAACATACCAAAGCCAAACAAAAAAAAAGGCAGGGGAAATTTTTTTCTATCTCTGGAACAAAGGACAGAAGTAACTTCACTTGAATGTAAAATGGAACATATTCTTAGCATTAAGTTGTACTGTGTGGAAATATGGAGAGGGTAATGCTGTGGGATATGTACAGCTGAACATGTTTCTGAGTAATGTGACTGGCACGGCTTACTAAAGAAGCAGCAAGGCAGGTAAAGGTGCTAATCAAACCCATCACAGGGCACAGACTCCTAACGAGCTGTTGGGTTCCAGAGAAGTAATACAAACTTACTGTGTTTGCTTCCCTCTGAAAGCACCTGGATCTTGTGAACCTTAAATACCAAATGTTTGTTAAAACTTCACTTGCGTGCCTGAAGAAGAAAATTAATGACTGGTTAAGAATCTTGCTTCGCAAGGTAACGTTYGCTTTGGCGGCCGATTCGGCGAACGCTCCCGTGGCCCGGCTGCCGGCTGGGTTTCCGCCCGGAGCGAAGCGAGAGGGGCGGGTCCCGCGGCCTGTGTGCGGAGCGGAGCGGGGCCGAGGCGGTGCCGTGGCGGTGCCGTGCTTCCCCTGCCCGGTGCCGTGCTTCCCCTGCCCGGTGCCGTGCTCCCCTGCCCGGTGCCGTGTCCCGCTGCCCAGTGCCTGCCCTGCCCGGTGCCGCCGCTCCCGGTGCCGTGGCGGTGCCATGCCCCCCTGCCCGGTGCCGTGCCCCGCTGCCCAGTGCCGCCTCTGCCCGGTTCCGTGCTCCCCTGCCCGGTGCCGCCCCTGCCCGGTGCCGCCGCTCCCGGGCCGTGCGCGCCCCGCCTCTCCGGCTCACGTGCGGCAGCGCCGTCAGGTGACTCGGGTCGTCTGACCGGAGCGTTCCCACCTCGCCGCTCCGCGGAGCCAATCGGCGGCGCCGCGCCTGACAGCGGCCAATCCGGGGCACGCTCGGCCGTGTCGGCCTGGGCTGGGCTGGGCTGGGCTGGGCTGGGCTGGGCCGGGCGAGCAGAAGGAGGCCCCGGGACGGGCGCTGGCGCTTGTTGGGCGGCGGGCTCGGGTGGACATGGCGCTGCAGTTCGGCGGGGCGGGCGCGCCAGGCACAGCTGAGGAGCCGGCGTTGGTGGGGGGGAGCTTCGGGGCTGCGGACTCGTTCCCCAAGGACTTCGGCTACGGGGAGGAGGAGGAGGAGGCGGAGCTGGAGGGAGGCCCAGGGCCCGGTGGGCCCGGGGGCGGCGCGGGCGGGCCTGGTGGCGGCGCGGGCGGGGCGGACTCCAAGCCGCGGATCCTGCTCATGGGGCTGCGGCGCAGCGGAAAGTCGTCCATCCAGAAGGTGAGGGGCAGCCGGCGGCTCCCCGCCTCTGCCTGCCGCGCTGCCTCTCCGGCGCCGAGCTGGTTCTCCCTGCTGTGCTGCTGTTCGGGCAATTCCTACTTTTTGTTGTGGGCCCATGTGGCGAAGTTGGAGCGACGGGATCCTCCTGCTTAAAGACGTTTGCTTTCCAGAATGGACTAATCATCTGCCCTAGAGAGGAAGGCTGTGTAGCATAGGTTGTAGTCTTTGTATTTCTTCACTTTTAAAGCTTCAAAAGTAAAAAGTGAAGATACTGGTGTGAAATTTATCATGAGGTGTTTKGTTACATGGTACAGGTGTGTGGTGTTTAGCTGGTGCTTCCACTTGGAAGAAGACTTGAGCTGTTGTTCTGCTATTTGATGTTTTGAAAAGTGACTTCTGCTTTAGTGTGAACGGAAAGCCTCTGGTTATTCTTAGTTTGCTAGACCGAGCAAACGAGAGYCACTTGTCAAGGAGGAAATACAATAGTTTTGGTGCCTTAGGTTTAATGGTAGCTTTGTGAAATCACTAGTGTTTCTTAATAAAAGTAAGACAAAACTGACTTATTYTTATTAGCCACATAGCTCAGTACAATTGTAGCACTCAGAATAATCCTTGTTCTTCAGTGTGAATTTTATGTTTGCAGTCCCTCTTGTTTTTAGGTGATATTTTTATGGGAAGATGTTACTAGCGAAATACTCAAATCTCAGCTCTAGACTTGAGGGCCTCAAACTTGCTTCAGGTGCAAGTGTGAAAACGAACAGAGATTTCTGTAAAGGTTTTGTGCAGAGCCTTTTTGGACATTGCAGTATAGCAGGTATGAATCTGTTTCTTTTAGCAATCTTATGTGGACTGCTTGGTAATCCTTAGACTGCAGTAAACCCAATGAGTTCTTAGCTGATTTTTTCTTTTGTGCTATGCTGAAATACAGTGACAGACTGGAGTGTTGTTGCTTTTTAGCCTTATCACTCATTCCCTATTATTTAGGTCAAGTGCTCCCACTGTATGTACAAATGTAGTGCTTTCACTGAAAGCCTTCTAAGTCTTTTTAGTCTTGTGAATGGTATTCGTTGTAGGCTCTTACTAGAGATGATATTGTATTACCCTTTCTTGAAAAAAGTGAACCTTAAAACCTAGAGGAAGAYAGTAGATTTAAGATGTTACAAGTCTCTTTATAGATGTAGCATTTGGATTTTTTTTTTTTTTTGCCAGGATTGGTAGACTTCAGTTCTTTGAGGACCTATTCCAATAGCTGTATAGGGRAGGAATAGTGCCATGTTAAATATGCAGTAAGAGGACATAGAATTTATTTTTTGCCAGTCAGTTACCAACCTTAGTGAAGAATTAGAAGCTGTGATTCTGATRCCTAGGAGCTCATTGTGATGATGCCTAAGCAAACTCTAATATGAAGAAATTTCTTATTAATAATTAGTGTCCTGCTCTTAAATCTCTAGTTCGAAAAGGGCCATAATCAGACCCGACCCTTCTGCCTGGTCACTAGTTGATGATTGCATTGCCTGAAAAACAGGGATATATGCAAGATAAACACTGTATTGGAGAAAGTATTGGCTTCATGATTAGCTAGAAATTTCTGTGAAAATAATGAAKTATTAAATAATTTTGTGCTYCTMYTGAGAGCAATATTGACAGGAGACCTCTCATGAAAGAAAAAAATTACTGTCCTAGGGAGGGACTGTTTTTTGTTTTTCCTTTGTACAATTGGGTTTTCCATACTGGAGTAACCTGTGAATATTCAATAGCAAATTGCTGGTAGATTTTGGGAATGCGATGGTTGCTTCAGTTCATAAACAAATTTTTGTGCTGACTTGCATAACTGGACTTACTGTGTTGTAGTGATACAATAGGAAACTGGAAAAAGTTCAGATGGAGAACATCCATCTGATGAAATGTGCTACTTTGAGGGAAAATGAGATGACAGCATTGCTTCCCAGAGACTTATAAGCTTTAAGCTGAATTTACTAATTTTGTCCTGCTCTTGTGGGAAATGCTGAGTTCCAAAAGAAATGTTGATTTCAGAATGCCTAAAAACTGTGCTGCAAACCCGGAAGTATGCAATACAGCTGCTATGTATCTAGAGCTGTTCTTGCTTCTCTGTACAAATGACCTGCTGTTTAAAACCTTATTTAGACTCTTGCCTACTACAATGTTTGCCCCAAGGAAATTAATTCTTTCCCTTGGCCTTAAAAATCTAGACTGAGCTATTACTTTGAACCTCACTAAACTATCCATTAACYGTACTGGGTGCAGAGCTGTTTGTCTTGCAGGTTTTTTGACAATTTGTTGCACCAGGTCTCTAATAGATTACTTTTATAACTGTATGAAACATTTGAAAAAACCAAAATTACCAAATTTGCAGTCCTTATTGTGAAGGTTTTATGTTTACCAAGTGCTGTATATGAAACTTCCTTATTTTTGCAGCTTTAGTGTTTGACTGTATTATTTGGAATATATTGTTTGGAGCAACTTTCATATGGTCCAGTTGAGTTGCATTACCACAATGTTTGCTGTTGACASTGACTGCTTTAGCTATAGGCTGCTTTGCTGTGGAGTTCCTTGCTAGTTTAGGAAGGGCTAAAATCCCAATGGGGCTTTTTGAGTTCTAGCAATAAGTATGTTTGTCATCCTGCAGCTAAACTGTTTACCAGTRTGAAATCTTTCATCCTTTTTTAGTGAGCTTTCACGGGAAGTTCCACCTGCATTTGAGGAAGTAATTTACTGTGTGGTTGAGTGAGCCCTCATGCAGGCTGCTCAGAGAGGGTGTGGAGTSTCCCTCAACCATTTGGATGCAATCCTGTGTCATGTGCTCTGGGATGAC